GAACATGGGTATACCTCCGGCTTATTTGGGAAAAGGTAAAATTTAGGAGAATAATCATCTTATTAATGGTTCTGTTTAAACAGCCCCATTCTCGCGCATGTTAATTATCCCGGTCATTTGTGGACCCATAAAAGCTTTTCATGTGGTTTATAAGCCCCACCAATCTACCTTAAGCCACTTGGTCAACGTCCGCTAACAACAGCAAGACCAGCTGTTGTCAGCTTTGGTAAGGCGGCCTCGTGCGCTCAGAAAAATCCCATACAATCTCTCAGTTTACTGTGTTCAAAAGTAGATTAACTGCATGCAGATTTTTGCCCCTCTCCCTTTTAACAACCTCTCTCCATTCACACAACTCGTTTGTGTGTTCGGGCAATCTGTAAACGATTTAACTAATAACTGAAATGCTTTGCTGGACCCCATTCCCATATAAATATATCAGCCTGAAAGTTACTTATCAAATGCAAACGTATGCTCGCTAAATATTCTTAAGAGTCCTCGGAGAATTTTCAAAACTGGAAAATGATTGAGTCTGTAATGAGGCGTTTCTTGAAATTATGATTTTTAAACTACAAAGTCGACTGCCCAGTTCACAAAGGCGTTTTTTGGCGACGCGATCTCTTTTTTAAAGCGATCAAACAAAAAGATCTTGGGTTATGACATGTGAACCGTCGCGAATGCTGCTGATCTAGGGTTGATGACAGCTTTGAGTGGTACTCGCACCTCGTGTTTTGGCTTGATTGCTTTACTGGGTCTGACTAGAAAGTAAGCAACGAACACCTCGAGTCATTTCGTTTTGACCTGAAGATCGTAACTCGCACGAAGCTGATACAAATTAGCGCCATATCAATAGTTTCTTCTTGTTTATGTTCTCTTGCAATAGTATAGACTCCACATATCGAAAAAGTTCCTATTTGACTTAACCGCGGGGACTATATTAGTTTCTTTCTGTGATGACCCAAATGACCTATAAGATAAGGCTTGGAAAAAAATGAATATTTGGTTTTTCTCCTTTCTCATGCCATTAGTTTTTGAGAAGTAGATGCGATCGCAGGGACAAGAATTTTGTTTGCTTGACTTTTCGGATTCCTTCTGACACTCATCCTCACAGACCGTAGCATAAACGGCTACTTCGTACCCAGGGCGTCGCAGCATTTATAGAATTCATTCGCTATTCTACTGCATACGTATGACAATTAACGCCCCCCCCTTTATCGAGAGTAGTTGCCTGCTTGTGAGTTGATTGCTCGATGACCGGCGTATGGGTCGTGAGCGGCTAAGATGTTAAACTCGTTGGATTTTGGCGCGATGATTGCTCTGAAATTCGCCTCGCTGGCACCGGCGTTGGAACCCCCTTTCGCCTATGTGTACCCCAAGTCGCGAATTGCTCTGGCTAAAGCTGCGCCTCATCGCAAAATATGAGTTGGGGAGGTCATTGCACTTGTTTATACAATAGGAGCCCGTAAACCACGAATCAAGCAAATTACGGTTCATGCAATTTTCCCCTCTCGGGAGAGTTTCAGCTCAATTAACTTTGAATTTGTGGTCGTGCCTCACCGAATGAACTGTGACTTGAGAATCGGCATCATCTTTTTCTACCTGCTGCCCCGTATTCGGCAACTCGCGTCCGTTTCCCGACGTAATTGCTTTGTCCGCAATTGTACCAGAGCCGAGAGACGAATTTAGATGTTTCTTACCGTGGCATTTAGTCTTTTGATTTCGTTACCTGACGTCTAATTGTTGTCGCCGGCCTGTGTGCTTTTCCAACAGTTAGTGGTGCGAGACGGCGGCCGATGGCCTCCGAAAAAATTTTGGCGTATGGAATTGCTTGCCGAAGTTTTTGATCGGTGCGGTTTTGTCGTTCATGTCGTTTGCGCATGCAACGGTTGTCGAAGTTGCGCGGGTAGCCATTTCCTCCGAACATCTGTCGAAGATATTGCAGTTTCGCTGTCTATCCCATCTACTTCCCGACCACTTACTGGGATTCGTATTTTCGCTTGTATCCTAATACTTTGTTGTGTACTTTTATATAGGCTATCCTAGAACAGCCTTGCTCTTCCTGCACCATGTTGACGAATCTCCTAAGATACTATTTCGCGTGAACCGCATTGCACAATTTCATATGTGTGAATGCCTATAATTATTTCACTGAAGCGTAGATTTCGTGGGTAAGGATATAGATCCTGCTTTAATTTGGCCTCTCGTTATAGAGTAAGACTGTTTTCCCATGACTGAAAGCCATACTCTGCGGTACCGTGATGCAAGTTATGCGCAACTTAGGAAATGTGAAGTTCACGCTGCCAGAAAACTTACTTCAACGGGTTTTAACCTCTGATCTCTCAATTTCACATCGGATACTCTGGTTAGACGGCATCAATATTTTCAGTCTCCTTTAAATATTGCTTGCTATTAATTAAAATTATGTGCTATCTATCTATGATTTTTCGGATTATCCTGAAATTACAACAAACTTGTCGGTTTGCCGACGGCTCAAATTAGCTGTTGACATTGTAACAGGGCTCCTCACGAGCATCGATGCGACAGTAGGGGCCCTTACATATGTCTTGTGGATTCAATGGATGACAAAACAAATGAAACTGATGAACATTTTAAAATATAGTTTAGACTAGGAGAAAAAAGTAAGTAACTAGGTTTCAAGACTTATAAGAATATAGAGTAATTATAAGGTATATACTTCAGGCTAGGGTACTGACTTGTGGTTGAGAAGATATCTACAAAATTCGGTCGTAACAGGAGACAACGTGTTAGTTTGTGTTCATCTTTGCATCATTTTACGATACGCAAGTACATTTAGTCATATTTTGTAGCAAAATAGGCAAACGTGCATTTTTTATACGACCCCTTCCAGTTTCTTTACTGAAACGTGTGGTGTATTTTAGTTTAAGAAGTCCGTAATTTGGAGCATATTTGAAGATATGCGGTAGTTTTTGAAAAGCGGTGTTGACGAG